TGTTCACGAACAAAGAGTCATTTTAACAACCCTAATCACGTAGCCATAAGACGAAAAGGGTTTGAGCAAGATTTAAAAATTATTATTTATATTAAAACATCATTTGAATCTAATTTAAGAATTTTTATTCTATTTTCTTAATCAATATTTTAATTGATTATAAATCTTTGTAGCCTTGTAGTCAGTTAGATTTTTTTAAAATACTACTTATATATATATATATAAACTTGATGTGTAGTATTTCGAGCCAAAACGAGTCGAACACGAACGAACACATCTTTGTTTGTGTTAGGCTCGTTAACTTATCGAACGAAATTAACGAGCACGAGCTTCTTAACGAGTCGAACACGAGCTATTCGCGAACAACGAGCCGTTTTGCCAGCCCTAAATAAGGCAAAAACTCACCCTTATAGAAATATTTAATAATTCAAAGTATATTAATAAGTTTATTATATTCAAATGTGAAATTGACAAAAGCTTTTCAAATCTTTATTATCATTACCATAGTTCTACTTAATCATAAATTCCATAGCATGTTACAAAAAAAATTTATGATAAAAAACAATTTTTTAATAACTAACTCCATTTTTCTGTTGCAAAAAATCATCTAATTTTTCTTATAGAAAAGAGATACATTATTACATAAAAAACTTTTTAAGACTCTCTTTTAAATTACTATTTTTTAGATTTCTATAGAAATTTGTAAATAAGTTAAAATTTAATTAATAATGACCCACCTACATATGAGTGGCAGTGGTACATATGAGCTAAAGGTAGTTCTCACCCCTTAAATGTAAATAAAATTAAAAAAAAATCCCAATAATTATATAAGCTATGCATATAATGATGCATGAATGCTTTGCTTCTCTAAATTTAAAGTAAATATTTTCATTCCCTTAAAATCCATATTCCACTAGGCCATATGACCAAAGCCCGAATTCAAACCCCCAAAAGCCTAGCATGATCGTCTAGTCAAAATGAGCTAACAAAGTCTCAAAAACCTCTGGTTATCTTTTTCTAAACTCGTCCATACACTTGAATATATTTAGGCCTTGAAGACAGAACCTTATGGTTGAGGACAAAGCACCTAAATCATAGGCCAAATAAACTGGACAGATCAAACAAGAGGCATGTGGCTATTGTAGAATAAATGTTTAGGTTGTTTTCGACTTTGCAATGTGGGCCTCAAATTTTCGTCGAAGCTGGATGGATTGGTGGTAGAGATTGAGATCAATGCCATCCACATTCCTTCCTACACGTGCCTTAAGTGTCACCTACAATGCAAGGATACAAAAAAGAAGAGTTTCCAAAAAATTTTTGGATGGGAAGAAGCAAAAGGTAGCTTTTTCAAGTTAACTCCACATGAAATTGAGAAATTACTTGAAGTTAGTATGCTACACTCTCCAAATATATTTACACAAAATAAAAAAATGGAAGAGAAAAAGGTGTGAGGATATCCTCAATAGAATTTGGTCAGGATGAATTTTAAATCTGTTAGGATTTGTTTGAGAGCATTTTTTTTTTATTTTTTATTTTTAAAAAACATTGAATATTTTTTTTTGCATGTTTAATTTTATTTTTTTATTTTCAAATGAAAGCATTGAGATAAACTTGAAGACCCGAGGGCCAATATGAGCACACTGACCCTCAGGTGCGAGGAGCACTATTCAGAGTTATTGAAGCCTTACTTGGCCATCCTGTGGAATCAAGAGCTCGCCAATAAACTGATAGATGGAGTTGGTGCGGAAGCAGATGTCTCTCAAATTCTGGGTGTCAATCAAAAGACTGGCGCCACCATCAACTATGACAGCCATGGCGCTTTCAACATTGTAAGACTCTAGCCTGTATATCAAAATTTAAGCATTTTAGAGGTTGATTTGATTTTTTTTTTTTTCATTTTATTTTATTTATGTTTTCAATTGAAATAAACATGTTTGATATGCTATAAAATTTTTAATTATTTTTAAAAATATTCAAAATAATCTTAAGAAAACTAATTAATTTGCTTTTGAAATAAAAAAAGGAAACATGACAAAAAATGCATTAAGCAAATATAAATTTAAAATAAAAATAAATAATAAATAATAAAAGTGATCCCAAATAAGCCGCTAATGTCTGTCTCACTGTTCCAATAATTGAGTTCTGGAGATGTATTAAAAGAAGAAATTGAAAAAAAAAAAAAAACCATTGACAACGAATGCAAGCTTGTTCAGTTTTCTACGCTACAAACTGATGAGAAGCACATGCACGAATCCACTAATGGATGCAGAAGTTTTTGAGGATAAAACAAATTACTCTATACGGCATTACATGTCACAAACTGTTACTTCATGAAAAACAGAAATATAACAAAAATATGCACTTGTTTCATCAAAGAACGTAAGCTTGTCAGTGAATGCCTTGCACGCTGACAAGAAGACATTCAACGTTTTCTGGAGTAAATGGTTACAACTGTCTGTAAAAACAATCATATAAATATTGCAGAAAAAAATACTTCTGAAATCAGTTGCGAATATTATAAATTTTTTCTCTTTAGAAAAAATGAAAATGGTAATTTTCCTCTTGTTAACATACTTTATAAAATTTGATTGTGAAAAGCTCCTCACTACAAAAATTTCACAAAAGTAAATACAATTTTATAGCTAAATTGAAATGTGACGGCTAAAGCTATGAAAAAAAATGATCCAAGATACAACAACAACAAGTATTTATACCACTAAGTGGGGTTGGCTACATGAATCATTTTCTCCATTGCGTCCAATTTAGTGTCATATTTTCATTTAATCTAATAAATCAAGATCATTTTTTATACAACATGCCCAAGCCTATTTAGGTCTACCTCTACCTTTCTTAATATAAGTTGAATATAAAACATCTACTCTCCCGACCAGATCATCAAATGGTCGACGTGTCATTTGACCAAACCATATAAGATGACTTTCTCGAATATTACCTGCCACTGGGGCTATATCAACCCTTTCACAGGTACATTTGTTTCACATTTTATCTCGAAGTGTCAAGCGACTCATCCACCTAATCATTCTCATCTCAACAGCACTTGATTTAATTTTCTGCTTCTCTTTTATAGGTCAACATTTTGCGCCATAAAACATTGCAGCTCTCACTCACCACCATCTTATAAATTTTTTTTTTTAGTCCAAGCGGTACTTTTCTATCACACAATAGGCCTGATGCATTCCTCCACTTCAACCATCCAACGTGAATTCTACTAATAACATACCCATCTCAGCAACACTTAAAAAAATTATCCCAATGCACTAGTAAAAAATAACTTCATGGAAAGCTAAAAAATAACATGATTTTAATAGGGATTTTTCTAATGGTGTAATAGCTTCCACCTCTTAATACCATTCTTAAATTAGATAGAAGTAATTAACCTAAAACGAGGCATGGCTCAGTGACCCACCTGACTCAATTCATCAAACCTCGTTAACAGGCTTTGGTTAGATTTTATTTCCTGGAAGCATAAGTAAGCCTACGCAGATCCAGTCCACAAGCACCATTGAGTTGGGTTTTCTTTGAAAATTATACCCAAACTATCTAACCCGGACTTTGGGAAGAGTTTTTATTTAATAACAGGAAAATTTACATACACACCACACAATTCTTATGAATTTACATATCCAACACTTAAATTTTGATAGTTATACTTATAATACATTGCTGTCATAAACCTATGCATGAAATAATGTATTTAACTTTTAAAAAAATAATAATGGTAGTATTTTTAATGTGATGTTAAAGACTGAGTGACATGCATGTACATATGAATGTTTGTGTTAGATACATAAAACATAAGAATTAATGCCCCTTCATAACAGTAATAATAATAAAAAGGGGCCTTTAAATACCTACCACTCATTTCCCATGTATTATGGATCATCCAAAATTTAATTTTTACATACAGAACACCCGATTCCTACGTTTTCGGCATAAGTTGGGTGGTTTGTACCTAAAAATTGAAGTTTGGGTTTTTAATATGTTAATACACAGGAATTGGATGGTAGGTATGTACCTCTCCCTGAATAGAAAACACAGGTGGTTTTCAAGATTTAGGTGAAACTGCCATAAGATTGATGCCTTTAGACCATCAAAGGTTTTGAAATTTTTAGGATGCATGAGCTTTTGTTCATGTAGTTACATATATGCTGATATCGCCCACATGAATTGAGAAAATATATCTTAAGAAGTGTTTATTAGGGGAGCGTAGCTTTATTATTGCTAGAAACAAGGTTTAAAGAATGCAAGACCAGCCCTTCACAACTTAATTTCTACAGTTCCATGTAGAACATCAGGCATGATGTATATATTATGACTAGAAACAGGAATTAAAATATCAACTAACAAGCATAAATACAAAGAAAAATAGCTCAAGGAACTTCGTGAAAAACAAAATATAAGGTCATGGGTACCAACTTTCCAGTAACTCGAACAGACTGCCCTTCCTTGAAGAAAGGAGAAGATGGCTCTAACTCCTGTAAACCAACCAGTATACCGGGTTTTATTACAGAGGACGCCATTTGAATCAAGATATTTATGAGCAAAACCTTGGAATGATCCTTGAATACAAAAAGAAAAACAAAAAAAATAGTGAAAAGTTAACGAATTAATAAAAATCTATGAAGGCATAAAGTTGATAGTGGCAATATGACAAGCAACGGTAAACAAAGTTGAGTTTTGATAACTATTACCAAAACTATTTTGATTTCATGAATGTAAAAATAAACTTCTCACAAGAAACTTACATATGATTTGTGAGATATTCCACAGTGAAGGACACTAATCTATGTTAGCTTTACTAGATGTCGAGAAGAAGAGTTAATTTATATAACTTTTCATTAAATTTTCTGTCCATGAATTTGACTCAGCATTTGGCAATGAGTTTGTATTTGCTTTGTACATCAAAATACACTTTCCATTTAATTTTCCATTTCATCGATTTGAGTCAGCTTTCTACAATAAGTTCATATGCAATTTGTAAAGCAAAGACAATGTAATTGTAAGGGGGTGGGACTGTCTACCATGTGCGCCTCTAGATTATCAACAGGATATTACATCCATAACAAGCAAAAACATTTCTCATTCCATGAAATTCCATAATATAATAGAGAAGAAAAATGCTCTTATGAGAATATGAATAACACACCCTCATCAAAAAGCCACAATCAAGACTAAATGCGAGATGAAAAGATCTGTTACAATAGCTTTGAAGTAAAAAATATTTTTATATAAGGTTTGTTCTGAAAAATTCATGTTGAACTATGATTCAAGGGATGGTAATAAATGGAAACTTTTGGTTTGTATACCAACTAAATGAATCAAAATCCTATAAGAGCAAGCTTAAATTAATACTTTTGAAACCAACAACATTCATCCAATTAAAGGTTTCTTAAATGCATAGATGCAAAATCGCCATGTCTATACGGTCATTTGCAACATCTCGATTGTCAAAATAAATATATTTCTTCAACAACAGACAAGAATGTTGCTTCACAAAATTTGAAAGATAACGTAAAAAAAGAAGATCATAAGACTTGAGAAGCAATAGTCCCTTTATCAATTGAAAGAAAATGTTAAAAAGATCTCTCGACTCTTTGTAGGGGCCACTTTAGTCCCCGAGTCAATAAAATTACCAATTTAGTCCCCATATCTTTTTTAAAATAGTCCTCTATAGGAACTATTTTAGTCCATATTAAAAGCGTACGGGAAATAATTTGGCATTTTTATAGACTATGAAACTAAAATGGCCACATGTGAATAATTAGGGAACAATTTTGGCACTTTACTCGTTGAAAATATAAAGGTATTATTTGGCCTTTATTGCTATTATTATATTCACAAAACAGACCACTTCACTTTGTGCACTTTTCAAGAAGCCATAAACTGTTTTACTTGGAAAACCAATTTTGGATTCCCTCACTTAATAGCAAAACTTTAACTCAAGGCCTCAATGCCATAGTTAAAGGTCATTGCTTGCACAGGGCAGCCCATTTGGCTCCTAAGAAGACTAACCCATAGGGTGCCATTTAGTGGCTTCGAAGAGATGCGATGTGATCAATCATAAGTCATTGATGTTAACTCAAAGAAAGATGTGGATTGTAATTCAATCTTGAGCTTGGAGGTTACGAAGGTACCGTTTCAAATGTTGGATTTGATAAAAGTTATCACTATTCAAAAAAATTATATTCGAGATCAATGCCCTCTAATATTTTCTTTAATGGCAGTTTTTTTATATCTGAATCCTAATCGTACAGGTGACAGTTATAATTGAGATTCAAAGCATGAATAAAGGACAAAAAGCTTGCCCAAGTCTTAGCCACCCTCTCCAAACAAAGCTCTGATTAGTGACTACCACTAATGAGTAATTGATTGGGTGGACCCAAGTAAATAATGTTGGCGGAGCAGAAATACTGGAGGGAATAATTTTTTTTACCAGGGCGGGTTATTTCTATTAAGATAAGTGGAATGTCTCAAAAGCTCTACTGTTAGATGAGAAAGGGAATCATATAGAAATACATTTTTCTTAAACTAAACTGCTTATACAAAGATATGTATGCCTATATATAGTTAAGAGAGGAAAGCGCTAAGGAAGAATACAATGAAGAAAAATATTATCCATAATAAGTATATTAATAATAATAAATAATGCATTTTTTAGAAGGGTGAGCACTTGAACCCGGTCCCTTGAGATACTTAACATAGTTTCCAGCAAATATAATAAATGTTTGAGCACTAAAGAATGCATATTATAATTAGTTGGCATATACAATAATTTAGATATGGTAACAATTCCCTACAAACTCAAGATAGCAACAAAAATATGATGACGGATTTAGAAACAGTAGCGACCAAAGATGTAACCAAAGTTTTTTGTTGCATGTCTCAAGGCGAAGCACCCGCGCTTCTACTACCCGACTGTCCCAACATATATTTCTAATTAGGTGGCTGTTTAGTATGCTTAGGTCATTAAAAAGCTCCCCGAACCATACGGGGAGTAAATCCTTTTGTTTGAAGCGCTTCTAGCTTTGTAGTTGAACATTCCTTTCTCCTCTTTTCCATCGGCATCCTTACCATTTCGACGGGTATAAGTCTCACCTCTTGGAGCTCTACCTGATAGTCATAGAATAGAGTTTCGTTCATCTGACTTTAGAGCTACCGAGGTCCCCCCGTAGACGACGCAATTCACATATTGCTGAAAGAGGATCTCTGAACTTGTTGGGTCGACTACCTTCACGATCATATAAACTTAAAAGTCATAATGGCTTGGGATGACGGGTTTGTGCTACCCTGACATAGTTATCTCTACCTTTTAGGGATCACTCATTTCTTCTTTTGACTACCCTTGTTGAGTCCTATCGTTTCCTTTGCCTTCGTTGTTACCATCTCGACGGCCTGATTACCGATGAGCTACCACCCTTTTTGGGATACAACGATTTTCCTCTACCATTATGACCTATATGTGCTTTCACATATCGGGATTTCCTGTCGGCATAATTTGATTATTTTGCAGGTTTCGTATGCCGATGAGGTCGTTACCCAGGTAGGGACCGTGAGAGACTCACTCTCAGCCCCATGACATAGCGGGAGCTCTGAAAACGTCAAAGCATTCCCCGAGGTGGTCGATCGAGGCAAAAGTGATGTCGATCGTGCTGGAGCGGCCATTCGAGGCATAAGTGATGTCGACAGGGTCGTAAGGTCAGTCGATGCAAAAAGTGATGTCGACCAGGTGGGGTGGTCGGTCGAGGCAGAAACTGAGTTAGGGCGGCCGATCGATGCAGAAGTAATGTTGATCGGGCTGGGGTGACGAGAGCCAGTCGAGGCATAAGTGATGTCGACAGGACCGTTAGGTCAGTCGAGGCAAAAAGTGATGTCGACCAGGTTGGGTGGTCGGTCGAGGCAGAAACTGAGTTAGGGTGACCAATCGATGCTGAAGTAATGTCGATCGGGCTGGGGTGACGAGTCAGGGCAGAAAGTGAGCCATGACAGCTGGTCGAGACAGAAGTAATGTCGCCCTGGTCGGGGCGACCTGCCTAGGAAGAAGTGATGTTGACCGGCCTGAGACGGCTAGTTGATGTTGAAGTGATGTCGACTGGGTCGGGGCGAGCAGTCGAGGAAGGAATGACACCGACCAGGTCAGGGCAGACGCTTGAGGAAGAAATGTTGCCAACCAAACTGGGGCGGTCGGTCGAGACAGAAGGTGCAATGACTGAAATGCAACATGATATGGTTCAGCTGATCAGAAACGACAATGAACCATACTCGTGCTAACAATCGCACAAAGGCATCTAAGGTTTAACACTTAGATGTGTAGCATTGACGTCTCATGCTTTGGCGGGGTGCGTGGGGAGTTTTACCTCCGAATCTACATGTTGCAAAGCTTGTCTCATTTCACAACTTCTCATGATTTTGCAAAATGAGCTAGCTATAAAATTTTCCTCACATTGCAAAATACAAACATTCTAACCCCTAGGATTTAGGTCTAAGGTTCACAAAGGGAGATCGCTCGGCTTGGCATAGAATTTGGCAAGCTTGAGATTCCTAACTCAGGGTTTCCTCTAGGAAATCAACGATCAATTCAAGGGAGTGTGGCCGCGTCGTTCGGCCAACTCACCCCGTGTGGGCAACGGACCCACAATGTCTATCCTAAACTATTCCTAGACTAGCTAAGAAGTAAAAAATGTGAAGGGTTTAAGAAGATTATACCGTCGCGGTGGTTGCTCAATGTTCGGCGAAGTTCAGGAAGAAACTCTCCTCAGAAAATGAGAGGACGCCCACGCTTTTTACGCTATGACGTCGTCGCCACGTGCCGACGGTGAGGAGCTCTGACGAGGCTTCCGGCCGAATGGGAACAAAAGCCGGCAAATTCGTTGGAGGCTCACGTCATCGACCGTAAGGGAATGAGGAAGCGAGGTCGCCGGCGCCCCGGGTTGCCTGCCTCAAGGGAAGGAGGTCGGGAGGGTCGCCAATAGCACGAGAGAGGGAAAGTAAGCCTGTGGGCTGCTTACAGGCAGGAAGGACCTTCGGGCCAACTGTCTCGGGCCAAAAGAAGGCGGCGAGACGTGGTCACCGGCGAGGAGAAGCGTGGCGAGGGCAGCTCGGACCAAGAGGATGAGCCGGCCAGGTGGAGGAGGCTCACGGAGTGGAGCTGGCCGACGAAAGCATTGCCGGCGGGAGATGAAGCCGGCGAGCGTTTCGGTCTCGAGCAACCGGAAGAGGCGCGAGGGATCCGCGATCCCGCGAGGGTCCCACGCGCAAGG